TCTCTCTCTCTCTCTCTCTCTCTCTGTTTTGTTATTTCTTTCTGAGTTAATCCCAGAGACAGTATTGACATAAAACATAAGATATATACTGTATATTATTTTACACATAAATATCATATAAAATGGGTATATCTTATTTTATTCTGAGGTAAACCTTTTTGATAAAATAACAGTAAATTAAAATTTTATAAAATATAAAATAAACTCAATATTATATTACATAACAGGAAAACCTCAGAAATATTATTAAACGATATGCGATCCCGTATTTCGCACCGATAGTCAATAATACAGTGTATTTCTATATATAATATTTAAGTGAAAAATATTAAATTTAAACAATATATAATATTTCTCTATAAATAAAGTAAAGCATACATTGTTTCCATTTGTGTAAAACAAAACTCTGATTTAAGACAGAGAAAAACATTTGATATTTTTCTGTTATTTATACGTATTATATAATACGTAAGGTATTGAGAATATTATGTTTGTATATATTATATATTGTTTTACACAACAAAAGCGAAAGTTTTCTGAGAAAATGCTTGTCGCTATGGGAAGAGCACAGAATATTCTGGGCTCACTTCTGAGTATATAAAGTGTTTGAGAGAGAGAGAGAGAGAGAGACTAAACATAAGTGTATTGTAAATACTCTGGTACAGTTTGACAGATGCCTGTCTGTCTGTCTGTCTGTCACAGGAGTCGATAATAAGCAGATATAATGCTTATAGTTAAGTGCATTCATAGACATAACTAAAGACAAGATATATAATATAATATTATATATATATATATAATATTATTAATATTGAATGACTAAAGAATTTGTGTCTTTCAAGCAGTCGTTGGACTCGTCTCTAATGAATGTAAACAATGACTTCGAGAAAACTCCCAAATTATTTGTACGACTTTTGTGTTATTGATTATAATGTCTCCAATGAAAGACATACTCAATGAAAAGAGGGATAGTATAACGAATATATAATTAAACAAAACTAAAAGCTTGAGTCAAAATGATAGTAATAGCTGTATAGTTGTGCCCAATGCGAACATACCAGTGCCACGGCGTCGCCCTCTTCGCAATTATTGACATTCTTGCCGTTCTGGCAATCGCTCGAATCAATGGGACATTTGTTGGGTTTGACGAGTTTGTGGACCAAATGGACGACTCCGTACTCGAGGAAAGCGGCCAATACGAAGACCAGACACGTTGAGAGCCAACAATCCTTCGCTGTATGATAGCTGACTGCCGGCGAAGACTTTCCGTTTATGTATAGGATGTGAAGGTATAGGAAGATGAGAGTGACAACCAGTAGCTTAATACGGGTCGACTTGTTTGGCTTCAACCAGAACGAGATGAATGCGATGAACGTGAGGATAGCGGTGGGCAAAAACCATTGGCACCCGTACTTAGACGACTCCCGACGGAAGTGGAAGTCAGCTCTAATGCAGGAATATTCGCCTGAAATTAAGCCAAATGTTTAGTTCATTTACATTACAACTTATAGTTTAGTTAAGACCTGTAGTTGTCTTAGAGGTGCAGTAATCAGTGTTATAGTCTTCGAGTACAAACTCTGGTAAATTCAATCTCTTGGTCACCTGTAGGGGTAACTCCTCTTTCCACGCGTACACCAAGTCTTCAGTTGTGAATCCATCTATTAGTGAATAAATTAGATTTTATTTTTTATGCTCAAGTGTTTGTGATTTATAAATATTATTGTTTATAATATTATGCAAATTGTTATCATTATATTTTTTTGGCATAAATATTTATGAAATATTAAAATATTATTTAATATAATGTCATTAATAGGATATTGAATAATATATTTGTAATATAATTATTTGTCAAGTCTCAAGGTTCTGATGTTTTCAATTTTATACTGTATATCCAAACATTCCTCAATTATTTCCATCTTCACTGTATTTTCAGTAATATTACTTTGAAATATTCATTTTCTAGAAATACTTATGTAAATGCAACTAAAATAATCAATTTGGAAATTTTTATTGTATTTAATCTAATCTGTCACCCATTAACAGTATAGCCCACACTATATTACATCAAATTAATTGAATTTTCATTTAAAAAACATTTTGACAAAAGCAATTTTCAATTGCAATGCATTTCATACTTTTGAATGAAAATATGAATACAATTTTTATTATAAAACAATTTTTTTTGAAATACTTGATAGCAATGATCTGATCCATAGACTAATGTAATGAGTTGTAGGAATAAAAATGTATTCATTTTGTTTAGTATTGCATAATAGTATGATATAAATGTTTTGGACTCACAACTGGCCATTTGTAGAGAACAGGTCTGTGTGTCAAACGGATAATGTTTGAGATCCATAGGACATGAAAGCACTTCCGACAAACGTATAGAAAACAATACGTTTCCGTTGGGGTAAATGCGAACCAAAACGTTTGGCTTCAGATCTTTCAACGCTTCACCGCTCCGGGAATTGGAGAAAAAAGTGTCGGGCGTCCAGATCTGGTCCTTGTCTTCGAGGGACAGGTACTTGATTTTGCCGCTCTTGTCGTCATATTTGAGCCGCTGGTCATTCCACTGGTGCCGGAAAGTGATTTGCGCTTTCCATTCATTACGCTTTGTACAGATGTACTCAATTGAGCGCAGATATAGGTTAGTGTTGACCACTACCGGACCCTGTGTTCCGTTCACTTCAGGCCCGACGGGTGATATACGGCTGTCATATTTGTTTTTATCCAACAATTGGTCCAAAATCTGTTTCTCGTTGTCCTTTAATTGTAGTCTCGTTTGGCTTTTTTCAATAAAAACAAAACTTGTTTACATTTCTCGTAACTCATACAGTATTATCGATACTACAGTATCTTAAAAACTTTTAGTTATCATTATATACATTGATTATATTATTGATTATACTTTTGAATTTTCCATTACTATTACTCGACAGATAATTAATATTAAAATTCAAAATATAATTAAATGTTATATTTTTAAAAATTACAAAATAAAAAGAGGACAAGAATTCAAACACATAACAAATAGTTTTTCCCTTTGTGTTTTATAATTGAATTATCAATAGTTATCATTTATTACTATGATGTTATAAAAATAGATTAGATTAGTTTAGTTTATTTTTGTAAGTTTTTCTCTTTTTAAAAATGTTTGAAAAGAAAATAATAAATTATGTTTCAATTCATTTAAAATACAATAAAAGAAAACAGTTCTGAATTTACAGGACATATCTTAATATTATTATTGAATTATAATTTTACATACAGTTTACAGTTTATGTACAGAATAATGCAGTGAATGCTATTTTAGGTCAAGTTTAATGTTAAATATAAGCCCGCAATGAGTGAAATGATGGCAAAAATAAAAGCACTTTTTAAGTATAGAATAATACATATAATAATTGGATATAAATATTTATATAATACTAGTCTTTTAGTTTTGTTTTCATAGTTATACTTAACAACAAAAACAAAGACTATAATAATAAGTATTGATTTTAAGCGGCGATAATGTCTTTAATTAAGAAAAATAATGATTTATTTATTTTGTTTTTGGTTTCATTTAAATAATAATATTGTGTTGTCTATTGTGTGAGGGGAAGAGCAGGGGTGAGATAGAGTATATTGTTCAGAGATGTGATCATGATAATTCGTTTAGGATTGGGGCTCTCATGGCTGAGCATCTTGTTTAGCCTTTTTTGCTTTCATATTTAAATGACATTTAAATCTTGTGAGCGTATGATATGAGAAATGAATATTTATTTTAAATTCAAATTATTTTTGTGTTTTTAAAGTCTTGAGTTCATTCACTATCGAGTGTTTAGTTTATGTAAAATTCTTTATTATATCTCTTCTATGGGACCCTTATATTCACAATTTAACGAAACTATTATGTGATTCATAAGCAAAATATTCTATGGATTTTGTGTTTAACTTGTTTTATATGCGAGTATTTCTCACACGAATTAATAGCGCTTTTATTTTATAATTATTATTATTTTTTGTCTGCATATGAGAGCAAACCTGTGATTAGAGTAAGCTTTGAAATCATGAAATTATTTTATTTTGTTTCGTTTGTGTCCAATAAAAATATTAAATGTCTTTTCCTTTAACTCCAAAACTAAGAACTAAGAATGGTTTCTAAATATGTTTTATTTGTAGTCATAAAACCTATCCTTTAAAAACCAGTTCCATCTCAACAGAGATTGTAATATTAGTTATAAATTAAATTAAATTAAATTTCATTAATTTTTTATTTTAAAATACATTTTTTAATGTAATATGAAACATATGGTAAAGTTAAATACGGTATATTATTATCTAGTTTAGAAAATTCTCTCAAAATGAAAGAAAATTGCATTCAGAAAATATATTTGATGGTATATTATATTGGAGTGTATTATATTTATAAAGAATTGTTTTTAAAGAATATTTTTAAAAAGTAATTTTAAATATAAAAACTTTTTTTTATAAAGAAATTGATTAATAAATAAATAAAACTAAAATAACCCACAATTTAGTAGCGATTGTTTGCCGAAATTCTAAAATGTCGTTTTGTGTAATAATTTTTCTTTTGAACAAAATATAAGCCAATTTCTAAATTATGTGTATTTTTAAATGTGAATAATAAAAATTAAACTCAAAACTGAATGGCTATTAAATGAATAGTTATTGAAATAAAATGCAAATTATAATATAATGATTGCGTGACTTAATATATAAAGTTTGCATAGAATTTATAAAAAGCGCATATGACGTGCACAAAGGACAATACCATATCACATTCACAACTTCTTAATTTTAAATTTGGGCATGTTTAATTTGGTGAACCACGTTCACAATTTTATGGTTAGAGGATTAGAGTTGGACTCCTTGTGCTCTCAATTGAGAGATGTGTTGAGAGATGTATTTGACATTAAGCCAAACTGGCCCACAGTAGGAGTACTAACTAACTTTCCCAATGAAGGTAATCATTATTAATTCAACCTCTAGTTCAAATTGTGATAAATACAAAAGTCGCAACTTTTATACAAATTTATAATTTATTATTAAGTATATAAATATTATAATTTGTTTTGGAATTAATTCTATGTTAATATTTATATGATATGGTAAACATTATAGTAAAGCCCTTAAAACTCATTTATAAAATGTTTTATATATTAAAAATATTGTATCCAAAAAATAAAATAAGATAATTATATTGAAAATAAATCAATTTGTAAAACATGTGTTAGATTATTTAGCACAAAAAATTGAATCTCTCTCTCTCTCTCTCTCTCTCTCTCTCTCTCATTTACTCTCTACTCCTCCCGAAAAAATAGTTTCTCTTTGGTTTTTGCTTTAAATTCAATGCCAAATCAATTAAATGGTATTTTGTGCAAAATACGGGTGTAATAAACCCCCGAAATATATTACCTATAATATAGAGATTCGGTAAATTATATACCCTTTATATAAGCCATCAATTATATGCACTGTTCTGACAATCAATTCAGTCGCAAGTTTTTAATTACATTTTTCAATACATAACACCGAAGATTTATATGTAATAATAATTCATTAATATATTGCGTAATCCTTTGTATGTAATGTTCATAAGAGTTATATAACTCACAAAAAGAAAGCATATTATTATAGGAAAGATTGTGTAGATATTAGGTATGAAGTCATGTATTAAATTACAGGCATATACTGTAGTCTATAGTCTACCGGTTTTATACCGACGAAAAATTGCTTAAATAGAGTTAAAGTGTTTTTACGTGAAAACTCTTTTTACTTTTTTCTCGTCTTTGTTATCAAAGTTAATGTGTTTTAATACCGACTCTTCTCTTATATAAGTTAATCGTTTTTAAATAGTTTTTGCACTTTTGGCAAAATTTTCTAAAACTTTTATTTTAGTGTAAAATTTTGTCCTTTAAATTCTTTGATTACTTTTAATATTGAATTTAATTTTGTACTCAAATATTTATTTTGTTTTATAATATAAAGTAAAAAGAGATTTAATTAAATTTAAGTAATGGGAATTGTAAAATAAAACTATAAAACAGTGATTGTGTGAACCATAATGTAATATGATTTTCAATTATGATTTATACAGAATTTAATTTAAGTATTGATTTTAGCGGTTATATTATATAAAGAGTATATAATAAGAGTTATTAAAATAAGAGTAAAAGAGTGAGTATTGAATTTCAATTGAATAGATTTGCCTCAATTTTATAGAAATAATATCAAAGTAAATCTTAAAAAGTTATCTCAATTTTGAATAATAATTTTTTGAGCATAAAAAATATGATTTAAAATATAAATGTTTGGAATATTAATTAAAATTTTAAACCAATAATTTAGAGCATATTTTAGATTAAAAATATTTCTATTGGATTCAAAATAATTCAATTGTTTTATTTATGTGTAAAAATAAACATTTTGTTTTTACTAAAGTTTAAAGTCATAATTAATTATAGCTTACATTTCTATCGTATAATTATTGCATATTATAAAACAATTAATTTTAGTTAAAAATAAAATAATAAAAAATGAAAAAGATAAATGTGTTTGTCTTACCCGAAAACAGAAGTGATGGTCAGAAATGCAATTATTAATAGTCTCAACATTTTGATCTTCAATTCAATTCTCGCTTTAGGTTAATATATAAATGACTTGTAATGTAATAACTGTTGTAAGGAATAAAATATAATATTATCAAACAATTTGAAATGAAATGAAGTTATTTTTTAAGAGTCTCTTATAATATATTGATTACGTTATAATATTGCGCTATAAATGAAATGTGAATTATTTTGTCATATTCACTAAATATTAATACAATTGTATAAATACTACGTCTAGACTATTTTGTCATATATCATATAATATGTATAAACTATATTTTGCTATCGGAACGACACATGCAAAACAAAGTTCTTCTTAAATATCTCGTCGAAGAGAGAGAGAGAGAGAGAGATAAAGAGAGCTGTTTTTGAAAACAAAAAGCAATTTCATAAATACCTCACACCTTATGGAGAAATATTGTGTGTTATATAACACAACAACAACAGGGTTTCGCTTAAACAAGTGTTTTTCAGAATAAAAATGTTTTTTGAAAAGACAAACAACAAGTTTTTGCACGAATTTTTTGCTATTATGAACACTGAAAGCGAGTGCGAGAGATAGTGGAGAAAACAATTAAAAGTACTCTTTTCTATGTAATAGACAACAATGTTATACAACAATAATTGCTGTGAACTTCAAATACTAAGCGCTGATCGCATTGAAAAAGTAAAATATATAAAGTTTATATAGAGAGAGTGCACAGAAACTCGTGAATGACTGACTGACTGTGCTTTTAAACACACATATATTAATTTAAGGGATGTTTAAAACGGCGTAAACTACTCTTCAAATGTCTTCGTCTTCGGAGAGCGAGTGAGAGAGAGGTCTGGTTTGAAGTTTTAAATGTGTGTTATGTTGTGTATCGCGAGTTGTTTTTCAGGAGAAAAGCTGTTATCCAGAGCTCTAGCGATCAGAATTGGACGGAGAGGAAGGGGAGGGACAGGCGAATGAGTGAGTGAATGGTGTGGTGTGTGAGTGCTATCTGTTATGTATGTTAAGTGTATATTATTTTTAATGACAGACAGAAATAGTTTATATTATACTGAAGTACACTATACACAGCATATAATACATAAAAACTTGTTTTTTGCCAATTGTGTGCACAGATTTTGATTGTATGATAGGACTGGAAGTTTTGGTTGGGCTCCGGAGGGGTAATGAAGGATTATACTGAAGTACACTATACACAGCATATAATACATAAAAACTTGTTTTTTGCCAATTGTGTGCACAGATTTTGATTGTATGATAGGACTGGAAGTTTTGGTTGGGCTCCGGAGGGGTAATGAAGGATATGAAATGGACAGCATTGTTGTTGAGGCAACTTTCATATAACTTTTATATATAAAGTGCTAACAGAGACCATATTATAACTACTGATAATTAAACTCAATTATTTGTCGGTTCCCAACAATTAGGTGCACCGAAAAACTACAGAATAAGCTTATTTAGGATTTTGTAATTACTTTATAAAACAATAAATTAATAAAATTTGATTATTTGAATGCCATTTGAATATAACTTAGAATTAGAGACAATTAAGTGAAGAAAAGAGCAATAAAATAAATACAATAATTTGTATGAGTTTTGTATCTTAATATGTAAACCAAATGTTTGGGAAAGTCTTCGAACTCAGAGATGAGGGCTATTCTAATGAGGGCTTTATTTAAAGCAAAATTCATATCAAAACTAAATGAAACTCCATTTAAACACTTGCTTTTTAACACAGTTAAACACATTTTTATTTTAATATTTGAATTAGTATTGAAAATCAATAACTACTGCATTAATAAAAAAGTTATAATAAAAACAGTTGCATAAACTAACATGAAATGAAAGTTGTTGTTGATTTTTTGCTACATTAAATAAATTGAAAACTTTTGTAAACAACTTTATGGACATTTTAAATCTATAAATGAGACATTATTTGTTAGCATATATTTAGTAAAAGAATTAGCAAAATAACTCTCATATCTTTCCGACAAAATTGCAATTTATATGGAAAAAAGTTCTGCTTAAGAATTCGTAAGTATAAAAACACACTACAAATGCGTGGATACTATTAATCAGTTGTCAAATGGATTGATAGTAAACAGTTTGTCCGCTGTTTTGTTGTCCAAAAATGTAGACATAAAATAGTTAAATAAAAGTTCCTTTTTTCAAAGTAAATTTCATATTTTGCCAAACGGTATGTGTTATGTGTTTGACTCACTATTCCTTACAAACAATTCTTGAATATCGTTTACAACCAGATTTGCAGTTAAACTGCATTTGTAAACACATTGTATTTACCGATGGAGAGGGGAGAGAGGAGGGAGAGAGAGAGAGAGAAAGAGAGAAAGAGAGAGAGAGAGAGAGAG